GTAACTGTGGGCTCATCACTGGTGCTGTCATTGGTGCGGTTCTAGCTGTGCTGGGAGGCATTCTAATGCCCATTGGAGACATGCTGATTGAGAAGACAATTAAAAAGGTACAAGTAGCCTAAATTTTTTTTTCCTCATTCTGATTCATTCTATCTTCCATCCCTTATTTTCTTTGAGTACCTGTTTTACATTTCATAGTAACTGGCAACTTTGTGTCTTCAATACAAAAGTGATTATGAACCACCACAATGGTGCATGATAGAAAAATGTTCAAATTATAATGCATATTTACCAAGAATGAATTGCTGCCTTAAGTATAAATATTAAATTCTGATAAAAGCTATTAATAGGTACACAGGTTATTGAAGTAATTGTTTCTGTCTAAAGAGTATGATGGCATGCCTTTGAATAAAAAATAGGTAAGTGCATTTTGTGAGGGTACAAGTCTAAACAGTAGATGTACTTTGGTTAATACTGAGAAAAGTATATATCTATATTTATAATACATAACATATATGAATACATAAATACATATTATATAGTCACTGAAACATAATTGTGTTTCATAATGAATCAGGAGTTTTTAGTAAAACGGGTAAACTATTTTTTATTTGGTAAACTGCTTTTTATAATATTTGTAATAAAACATGCTTGTCTTACAAATATTTCCTATTTATAAAGCTTCATGTTTGACTCTTAGGAAATACTTTCAGAAGTGTTATTTAGGGCATGTCCCCGTGTCTCTGCACCAAGCAGACTTTAGTTGTTACTAAGTTACAGAGGTTTGTACAACAAACTAACATTTATTTCCCACCCTAGCAGCTTCTACTCAGTTTCACACTCACCAGTGTTAACTGGCGGAGGAAGGAAGACTAGGGTAAGGATACACCGACTGCTGAAGTCCTAAACCAGGGGTAGCGAGTTCAAATGGCTTCAGAAGTTTAGAGACAGAATTAAAGATAAGAAATAAAAAAGGGAAGCTACAAAGAACAAGATAAAATGGATGGGAACTATTGTGAACTTGAGAATGTGTGTCTACCTGAAGCCAGGTATGTTTCTTTTTTCAAAACATAATTCTGGCCAAATAAAACGTATCTGAGCACCAGCCTCAGCTCTCGGCCTGGTTAGATGTCAGTGGCTTAGACAGAGTGTTAATAAGTAGACTGCACAGTGGAGAACAGCAAGATTTAAACCGAAAAATGGGCCACACCTACCAACTCATACTGAACTTTCTGTTACTGCCAATGTTTTTATCTCCCTTACCCATTCATCAACACTTGGCCTCTTGCTCTTAACAGAAATATAAATATTTATATTTATAAATATATTTCATCCATTCTATTTCACTGAAGCATTGACTTAATTGACTATTATGAAGAATTACGTTTAAGTATAGTCATTCATAATGAAAAGTTATATTTTCTGATATGTCTTTCTTTAGCTAAAATTATGAAGGTTTTAAAATTAAAAGAAATCATCTCATTGTACCATTATAGCTGGCATTTTACTATAAAGATAAAAATATAGGACATTTTTAGGTTCTTATGCTTGCATGATATACTTGCTCCATAATAATACAATCATTTCTGGCCTTTCTGTCACTAACAAATTGTAAATCTTCAGTACTATGAATTTCACTGAAAAAAAATATTATCAATTGAATGTCATCTCCTTCTTTGGAATTCCCAATTTTCTTGATGTTACTTTTGATGTAGTTTGATAGAGACAGACAGACAATAGCGAGGTAAAGCTTATGTAACAGTGTGAATGGGCTTTGTGTTTGCTGACCACTCTGTAAACCGTGCTCCCTCCTGGACTTCCTGTGGAGAGAGACAGACTCAGTGTGCACACTAGCACATAGTCAGCAACTCCTCTTTTGGAAAGGTCTCCAGAATAGGGGTATCACAATGATCTCCCGCTGAACAGTGTTTTAGACTGAGACTATTTGTTTTGGATACATAACTGATGATCAGTAGCTAATTATTGATCATAATTTTTCTTCCTGCAGCAATATTAGTACATATAGACTCTCTGTTAGGTGGCAGACAAGCTTCTAGCATCTATTTTAATTGTCAAATATTTATTTCTATGTTCATAATAACTAAACCTGAGAAAATAAGTTTTGAGACATTAAAAATTTGCTCTTCTATAGGGACTAAAAGAATAAAATAAATTTTTTTCAACAAATTTAAGATTAAACTGGGGGGAAAGCATATTGTAAAAAAAAAAGTAGAAATGTGTGAGACTCTTAGGACTGAATTCTATAATGTGTAAATGAAAACATAAATGCTATTTAGAAATAAAACTTTCAGTGTATCCAATAGCTTCTGGAAGAAGGTGAGATTTGGGTTGGATTTTGAAGAACTGTAGAATTTTGAAGTTCAGAGAAAGCTGCAATTACAGGCATGAAAGGATTGATTAACATTATGGAAAAGTTGTGAAAGTTCAGTTGAATATTGTGAAGAAGAAAGGAAGAATATAGAAGATGCACCAAAAATATGGGGTTAACAAGGGATGATTAGAGAGACAACATTATGGGGTGAGATTTAAAATGCTTTGAACATGAAGCAGAAGAATATTTAATTATGTATAGCTAATCATTGTTGATGTACGTTTTCTGGTAGGTGTGTAAGATGCAACAAAACCTGCAGTTGGAGATCAATGTCATCAAATGGCTAGAATTTATTTAGTGGTGCTAAGAGTTTCATATGTATAATTTATTTAATGTTCATAAATACTATAAGAAATTATTATTATTTTACCCATTTTATAGTCACAAGACCTTAGAACAACTTGCCAGCTGACCTAGCCAAAAGGAGGAGGAACCAGTTTCCAAACTTAGGCAATCTCAGGGCAGAAACTAGTTGATACACCAGTCTTGTACTCCATCTACAATAGGAAAGTGTTGGAAAGTGAGAAGACCCAAAAGAGCAAAAGAAGGAAAAAACATGTAGGGCATGACCACTTTCAAGGAGCATGTGTGACTCTCCTTTAATCTTTGCACATTTTGTAATAAAGCCCATCTATTCCAGTGGGATACAGTTCATAGAAAGAACTGATGGGTAGTGAGATGCTGTGGCCATTTGAATGGAGGGACTAAGAAGAGAGAGGAGTACAAACTACATTGTATCCAGTCAAGTTACCGAGTGAAATGTACACCTTGGGAGACTGCAACACAGAGATTTTATGAATAGTTTCATATGAACATCAGTACCTATTTCAAAGGTCAGAGTTCAGATAGATTTTTACCATTATTATACAGACTACAGATAAAACTAAATAGTACCTTTGCTTGCCAGAGAGCTTGAATGTAGAAACAAAGGAGCAGAGAAATCACTATATGATTTGTGCATAATTTGGTGGTGAAAGACAAAGCAGAAAAGAGAAAGAAATAATTTTATATGAAGAAATAAAAACAAGAGTATAATATTTTGGCAGCTAATAGGTAACCAGAACCCCAGGAAAGAGAATGAAATGTACTCAGGCAAAAGAAAATTAAGGAAATAATGGTTAAAACATGGTCAGATTTTGGAGTATGACTTCAGTAGAATAGGGTCAAAAGAGGGGGTGAAATACAGAATAGAGTGTTTTCCCTTCTTGTTTTGAAATGAGGGTTTTCTGTGCAACTTTTTGCAAGACTAAAGGGAATAGTATGAATCTAGGCTCTGGAAGGAGGAAGGGATACAAAACTGAAATCTGAGAGAAAAATGAGTTCCAAAAAACCTATTAAAAATAGTTTGCATTGTATCCCAACTATGTACCCTTCGACACAAGCCATTATCAGAATCCCTTCAATGATCAGGGTCTGTGGTCCATTTACAACTGAGCCCGATTTTCGTCTCACATTTCTATTATCCATGTTGAGTTTGACAATTTTACCCATATAAAGATATTGGGACTGTTTTATTTGCTTAAATAAGATTCTTTTATTTTTCCTTTAGTATTACAAAGCTATATTTTTAATGAGGCTGGCATATGCATGTGTCCAGCATATAGTAAAAGTCAAATGTCTGAATTAGGTACAAACTCAGAGAGCCAGGTGTCTTACACCAGCTTCAGGAGCACTTAGGTTAACGCCGTTGTTTTACGAATATCTCACACAAGTTTTCATACTGGTCAGTTTTTTGTTTGCCATTAAAACTCATTGAAGATTATTTTCTTCCTTTAATTAATAGCACCTTGGAAAAAGTTATTACCTGTACACAAGCACCATTAAAAAAATTAAAGTGTTTAACTGCAAAATATCAGAAGATCATCTTATATTGCTGTTATTTATAAACTATAAAGTCAGAATTCTATGATATTTTCTAGTTCTAAAAGATGACACTCTGATACCAGAATTTGAAATGGTCTGAAATAGCTTACTTTCCTTCCTGTGTGTGTGTATTTTTTAATTTTCATCTAAGGCTATGTTTACTGATTTCAGAGACACAGAGAGAGACATCAGTGTGAAAGAGAAACATCGATCATTTGCCTCCCATACACGCTCCGAACAGGGATCAAACCCACAACCTAGGTATATGGTCTGACTAGGGACCAAACACACAGCCTTTGGAGGAGGTATAGGGTTCTGCTCCAACCAACTGAGCCGCCCAGCAAGGGCCATGCATATATTTTTCACTCTTTATTTACACGGAATGTTTTCTAGGGGCTTTATGCTTCTTTTTTATACATTATAGCAGAAAACCTTCTTATCAACATTCTATCCCGTGGTTCTTAATAGACTTGTGTCAAGTCAGTATGTTTATGCAGCCTTGCTAGGGAGACTGGAAGTCAATGGCCTAAGCTGCCAGAAATATGGAAACTACCAGGTCACTTTGAAAAAGGGCAAAGTTCTGCCACCACTTACAAGATCATCTGTCACTCAACTTTGTTTATCTCACTTGATAAAAATTTAGTGAATATTGTGTCGCATAAATGATTTTAAGTAAATTTTAATTTAGTTTCCCTATTATATTAACTATAGAACACCAAGAAGGAAATACGTTTTTTCTTTTTTACAAAATATGGAACTCTTCATGAATTTGCGTGTCATCCTTGCACAGGGGCCATGCTAATCTTCTGTGTATCATTCCAATTTTACTCTATGTGCTGCCAAAGCGAGCACTTTTCTTTTTATTGATCTATTAAAAGACTAATATTCAATTATATCATCATTTAATTATACCCTCCTTTTCTTCCTCCAGTTCTCGAAAAGAATAACTTTTAGTAGCTTGTAATAAATGCTTAGTAAATTAAAATAACTGTTTATGTTCATAAAATGACTAAATTTTTGAATCAATAGATCACATTTTAATAATATAAATTAATTTACATTTATATTAATGTCATAACATATGCTTATAATATTTCTAGATATAATAAAATAGTTTGTACATTTTTATAGTATCTAAAATGTTCAAAAAGAAATGCCTGATGTATTAGTCATTAAAGAACATAAACTTTTTAAAAATTTAATGACAACATATGAGTACATGAAAGAATCCAAAACAAATCTTAAATGAATATAGCAGTAAAAAATGGATTAAATGCTAGAACTATTTTTATTTTAACAACAATAAAATCACTTAAAATCAGTGTTTCAAGAAATAGCAGGGAGGAATATATAATCTTCTTCCTCTAGCCCAGAGTAATATCGACACAGTTTACTTTTCATGACAAATATACAAATCTCCCATTTTAGGTTCTTACATACATTCTAGCAGGCTAATTTGGGGGTTTTAGAAAGCTTAATTCAATCAGATTTAGTACATTTTATCCTGGGTATTCATTGATAACTTGATAATCTGAGACTAAAGCCAGTTTTTGATTTGGCACCACTCATATTCTAATGTCCCTTGTTTTCTCCCCGTGCACACACACACGTGTGCGTGTGAAAATGAGAAACACTTTTGAACATGGGGAAATTGCTTGTAATGGTTCTAATGGAGTAAATTGTGCTGGTGAGTGTGGAGAAAAAGATTACCTACTACAGTATGTTCTGCTTTTTAAGGAAGTTTTGATTTAGTTGGAGTACAAATGTGGAATGATTAAGTAGTAGAAAAACAAGTTTCACAGGATGTTACATAAGTTGTTGTCACATGGCTTGTTCAGCTAGTAAGTAATATAAACAAACCAGTTAGAACAGTTTAGAAGTAAATGATATTAGCATTTTTTCCTAAAGAATAGATAGAATTTGTATAGTGATAATAGCGAATATGTTTAATAAATACTGTGTTCAATGCTACATGGGCTAACAGTATCAGCACTATTCTAAGAGTTTATATTTATTAACACTTGTAACAAATTATGAGGATAATTATATAATTAAACTATATTCTGTTAATTCTGTTATAGTCAGTTAATTCTGACTTTCAGAAGTACTAATTTCATATGGTTTAATGCTATTATCTCCATTTTACAGATGAGAAAACTGAGGTACAAAATAATTTAGTTACTTGCCTGAGTCTAAATAGTTAGTACATGACCAAACTGAGGATCAAACTCATAGCATCTTAGATTCATTCTTTACCACTTCAGTCTGTGCTTTGAGGGAAAAAGCCACTGTGCTTGGTCAGTGTGAGGGTACAATAAGGAAATCTAACTTATAGATTAAAATTTGCTATCCATGATTCTTTCCTTCTTACTGTTTTACAATATCTTTGAGCAACATATCTTCTATAGCTATGCCTTCATACTCCACACATGGGAAAATATCAAAGGCATTTTAATAATTATATATACTAAAATTGTCAGTTGCATAGTACTGTTTCCTTATAATAGCAATAATCAAGTAAGCATGTGACTAGATAGAAGATATTACTGTCAAAAATGTCTGCCTTCAAATTAATGAAACAGAATAGAAATTTCATGGTCAATGTCTTTCAAACCCAACTGGAGACCATGCCACATGAGTCATCAGGTTGGAATCCAGCCATTTCTGTGGCTGAGTAGTCTGTATATTTTAAAATCAGGGACAGATACTGGTGCATGCATCAACCAAATGAGACAATCTTAAATTACATTGTTTTTTCTGGGCATGTCATGATCAGCTTCATACTTCAAATTTAGTGAAAGATTTGCAAAATAGTCCAGATAGTCCAAGTCCAATTTAAATTAAGGCCTTTTAAATTCACAAAGGACATAAAATCTTTTTGAAAAGTACTTGTGACATATCTAGTCTTGGTAGTCAAGGAGCGGCTGTACAATTTCCTAATACATAGAGTAGTGTTGGGACCAGAGGAAATGAAGTCCTATTTTGACTGCTTTAAAATTTTTCTTTGTCATTAAACAAATCATGATGCTGTGGAAACTGCACAAAATTGTAGTAAAAATATCTGGTCTCTATATTATCAGCTACTACATTGTTATATGTTACTGAACCAGAGGTCTGTTTTCTCTAGGACCCATTTCTACTTCTGAAAAAATGGGTGGGGTTAGATGATGCTAACTTTCACAGTTGATAATTCAATGCATGTATTTTAAATGTGTGTGTTTCAACGTTGCCATTTAAAAATATCATCAGATCAATGGTTAGGGCAAAGTGACTTGTGGCTCTTAGAGAAAAGGCATATTACACTTTGTCCTCTGGTGTTAAATACATATGCATTACAGTTAGGGATGTATTCTGTCCTGCCAAGAACGTTCTATCACAGTCTCTTTTCAATTCTGTAAGCTCTTATTGATTTTCCTTCATTAAGAACTAAAATAAAATATCTGCCTAGAGAGGTATATGTTAAATAATTGATATTGCATTAGTCCTTAAGATTCTTAGAGTGTGAAGAGTAACATGTAGATGAATAGGTCCGTGTGTGTGTAAGTCTCTTGAAATGGGTAAATTAATACATCTCTCAGCTTCTGTATAGATTTCACCTTCAACATCCTCATTAAACATCTTTACACTTAGAAAAATAGCCATAATACATTATCCATAGGTAATTTTGTCTTAATATTGGGCTTGTTAGTATGGAAATCAGACTTTCTGGGACCAAATGGAAGTTTTTCAAGGACAATTGGTGGTAAAAGTAATAGGGTCTACCAACACTTCAGCAACTCCAGTATACCCAGTGTAGATGATTGCAACAGAAGGATTTTGTAATGGTGTTTCAGATTGGTGCTGTGTTCTTCTCTAAGGAATTCCCTTCTTCTCTGCTTTAAGCAATAAGTAAAGTTTCCTGAAAATATGAAAGTCAATTTGACTTTTACCAACTACATACAGAGGGGACAGGAAAAAAAGTAATAGAGTAGGGTAAGAGAGGACTAGTCTAAGGGTCAGAGCCTGGGATTCTCTGTGTGATTCTTCTATGATATGCCTAAGTTTTCTTTGGGCCAGCTACCTGGTTTCTCAGGGCCCCAGCATGTTTTCTTAGAAAATGTGATGATAATATCCAATGTCCCTTCCTGATCCCTAGTTTTCTTCCTCTTCCTCTAGCACACTAAGGTAAGTTGAAACTTTCCATCTGGGCATTTTGTCCGAGGTTTTTAACTAGAAATACTGCCTGCTACAAAATCACCTTCATTGGCAGTAGGTACAATAGCTTCCAGCTCAGAGAGTGAAATCTGTGGAAGGCAATTTGGAGAAAAAATGAAACTCCCTTATTTTACAGAAAATGAAATTAACCCTGAGAGATTTGATGACTTTCCACTCAGTCCCACAGTTCCTAAAAAAAGGAACAATTTTCTAATGTAGGGTTTCTGATTCTATCACTGGCATTGTTTTTCTACTACATAAGGGCATCAACAATTTTTAATGGATTTCATGAAAGAATAGTAGGCCAACTTCCTTATTTAACACTTTTATTTAAAACATAGTAATCTAATAATAATGAATTAGCCCTGGCAGTGTGGGCCAGTTGATTGGAGCATTATCCCATACACCAAACAGTTGAGGGTGAGATTCCTTGTTAAGGCACATACCTAGGTTGCCAGTTCAATTTCTGGTTGGGGCAAGTATGGGAAACGACCAACTGATGTTTCTCTCTCACATCAATGTCTCTCTCTCTCTCTTCCTTCCTCTGAAATCAGTAAATATATCCTCAGGTGAGGATTTGAAAAATTTGATTGTTGTAACTTTTGAAAAAGTATCATTGGGTTGCTGCAAGTATATTGGGAGTTTAGAAAGCCATACTGAGCATGATTTTGAAGTGGGGGAGTCATATTTGTGCGTTTTTTATTTGGAAGCATCTGTTTTCTTAATTTAATAAATGTTAAGTGATTATTTCCCGAAGTGTCCAAGTTTTGAAGAAAAGAAAAAGGCTTCCGTTACCACTAGATTTTTCTCTCAGTTTTTCTGTTTTGCCTCATCAATCCAAAGCACTGAGGGCAGAAGAAAAGGTGATGTTATACTGGATAAGAACATTTCAGAACAGCTTTAATAAAATTTGCCTAGTAAATTGTGTTACTAACTGTTGTAATATTGCCATAGAGTCCCTCTGTAAGGCTTGACAATAGCTGGCCTTAAGATCAACAGACGCGTGTAGTATTACACACAGATTCTTTGTGTAAAAGGTTAGCTAAAGAAGTTGCTATAATATATTTTGTTGAAACACTTCTATTGCAAGTGTGTGGCAAGATTGCAAAGGTTCTCATGTACATAGCACTTACTCATGGTGTTTTCATTGGCTAACTAAAGGTTAAAATGCCCAGAAGTGCCCTTCCTTACTACCAAGAAATAACCCAAACTTGTTTTTTCTTTTTTAATAGGAAGTTGTTCTTGAAGAAGGTACAACTGCTTATGGAAACTGGCTTAAAACAGGCACAGATGTTTACAGACAGTTTTGGATCTACGATGTGCAAAATCCAGATGAAGTGATGCTTAACAGCAGCAATATTAAGGTTAAGCAAATGGGGCCTTACACGTACAGGTGAGTAAGTCCCCACAAGGAAGCATCACTCCTCTGTGGATCCTATGGATCTGTGACAGAGACTTCCGCTTAATAAATGCCATTGATTTGAAATGCACTCACACTATCTTGCCAATGGTATACATCGAATATTTTGTTTCTGCCTATTTAAAGCCTAATGTAAGGATTTAATGCTTATAAGAAATACAGATTTTAGTATAAATTGACTAGCATCAAATAACTGTCCTACAGTTAAGAAGTTATAGGTGTTTTAAACTTGTGGAAT